TCACGTGGGCGAGTGCCGCGGTGTCAGCAGTGGCAAAGACCAAGTCATCGACGTACACGAGGATGTAGAACGGCGGCAGCGAGGTGTCAGTGCGTAGAAACAGTGACGGGTCAGCAGTAGAGGGAGCGAACCCAAGAGCCGCAAGTGTCGTCCTCAGTGTGTCGTGCCACTCACGTGGTGCCTGGCGGAGACCGTAGACCGGCCGCTGGAGCCTCCACTGGGTACCAGGAGGAACCGACCCAGTGAAGCCAGGTGGGCGACGTAGCCAGATCTCCTCGTGCAGGCTGCCCTGTAAGAAAGCAGTGCTGAAGTCAAGTGAGTGAAGCTCGTAGTCGCGGTGAGCGGCTATGTGTAGCAGCACCCGAAGAGTGGTCATCTTCGGGGTGGGGGAGAAGGTCTGGAAGAAGTCTACTCCCTCTCGCTGACTGAAGCCTCGAGCAACGTAGCGCGCCTTGAAGACAGGAGGAGAACCCGGTGGCCGTTTCACCCTGAAAATCCACATGCCACTGACGATGTTCGCCCCAGGTGGGGGAACGTCGTCGACGTAGGTGCCTGTGGACTTCCAGGAAGCCATCTCTGCGTCCATGGCTGTCTGCCACTGAGAGGAGTAGGGACCCGCCATCGCCTCAGCGTAAGTGCGCGGGGTCGGGATGTCAGGAGCATCCGGGTCTCCCTCAGGGGCAACTAGTAAGGACACGAGACGGGGCAAAACAGCAGCAAGGCACTGGAACTCCTCCTGTCTGTCCTCAAGGACGTCCGTGCCAAGAGCACACTCACCCCCGACGGACGGAGGACAGACAGACTCAGACTCAGCGACAAGGCTAGCAGCGTAGTCTAGACGACACCGGGCAGCAAAGTCAACCAACTCAGCGACCAGTGCAGACGCAGCAGAGGACTCAAAGGTAGGGTCAGTGACAACAGTAGCGAGGAGACGCGTGACAGTGGGACTGGCAGCACGACGGGAGTCAGACTCCGGGTCAGGAAGAGTAGGAAGAGAGGAAGCAGGAGGAGACGGTAGCGGGACACGCTGAGGAGCAGTGGAGGGACGCAGAGTCATGTAGTGAGTGCCAGGGACAGGAGGAGGACGCTCACGTGGGACACGACGACCAGTGCGAGCAGTACGAACAGGCGACGCAGGACGAGACTCAGGCTCACGACGCTCTGTAAGACCTCCCGTGGGACCAGTGTAAGGAGAGGGAGCAGGGAGAGGCGAGGCAGGCGGTAACTGTGACTGCGGCTGGACAGGCGGAGGACACTCTACGGAGGGAGGAGGACAAGGAGAAGGAGCCTGACCAAGAACCTGCTGAAGGAGCGGTACGAAGTACGGTCGCGGCCGCGCAGCGTCTCCAGAACCAGCAGAGACACCAGCAGCAGGGTCCTCAGCACCAGCAGAAGCTCCAACGTCCGGGTCCTCAGCACCAGCAGCAGCTCCAAAGCCCGGGTCCTCAGCACCAGCAGCAGCGCCACCGCCCAGGTCCTCAGCACCAGCAGCAGCTCCAACGCCCGGGTCCTCAACAGCAGCAGTAGCGCCACCGCGCAGGTCCTCAGTACCAGTAGCAGCGCCACCCCCAGGGTCTGCAGCACCAGGAGCACCACTCCGAAGACTGCAGCGCCATGCGTACCACTCTCGGATCTGCTGAATGGGGGGGAGCTCCTGGGCAGGAGGGGAAGTACTGGTACGAGCTCCAGCAGCACCTCTCCGGAGGCGGCAGTACTGTAGGTACCTCTCCTGCAGCTGCTGGGAGGAGAGGGCTCCTCCAGGTGTAGCACGCTCAGGCTCAGCACCTCCAGACACAGCACCCCCAGACGCAGCACCCCCAGGCTCAGCACCTCCAGACTCCGCACCTCCAGGCTCCGCACCCCCAGGCTCAGCACCCCCAGACTCAGCACGGTCAGGCTCAGCACCCCCAAGCTCAGCACCCCCAGACGCAGCACCCCCAGACGCAGCACCTCCAGGCTCAGCACCTCCAGACTCCGCACCCCCAGGCTCAGCACCTCCAGGCTCCGCACCCCCAGGCTCCGCACCCCCAGGCTCAGCACCCCCAGACTCCTCACGGTCAGGCTCAGCACCCCCAGCAGGACGAGAGTCAACAGCTACCTCGACAGGCTCAACTGGGTCTACCTGGGACACACCTGAGGGAGCGGCACCCTGAGGGGGGAGGGGGTCTGGTACCTCAGCACCTGGAGCGAGGAAGAGAGGCGGGGGGGGGAGCGGGGCAGTGCGGTAGGGGAAGAGGCGGTAGTAGGGGACGGACTCGTCAAAAGTGACGTCCTGAGAGGCCAGGACACGACGCGAGGTGGCGTGGTAGAACTGCCAACCAGGCGCGTCCGGGACAAAGCCAAGGAAGACACAGGGGACAGCTCGACGGGAGAGCTTGTCCGCAGACGTATCGCGAACAAAAGCTCGAGATCCCCAGACCCGAAAACGCGACGCATCGCCAGCCTCTCCCGTCCAACGCAGTGTCGGAGAAGTCTCCAGTAAGGAGACACGGGGCCAGAGGTTGAGCTGATGCGCAGCGTATCGGACTGCAAACGGCCACAGAAAGTGGGGGGCAGCCGCATGAACCAAGGAGGTACGAGCGACCTCCATGACCAAGCCAATGCGGCGCTCAGCAATCCCATTCTACTGAGGAGAGGCCGGAAGTGTGAACGACTGCTCAATGCCCTCCTGCTGACAGAAGGCCTCCAAGAGGCCAGAGGAAAACTCCCCACCTCTGTCAGAGTGCAGACGCAGGACAGGGAAGTCGGAGCGGAAACGCTCACTGAGCTGGAGACGAGATCTGCGGATCCAAGGGATCAAGACATCAGGGACGTCACCCTTGGTGCGCAAGGGGAAGACCGTGGTGTAGCGCGAGAAGTCGTCAACAACAATCAGGAAGTACCTCTCCTGACCCTGACCACGGACGCGGGCTGGGCCCCACACGTCCATGTGGAGCGTCTGCAAGGGAGCAGTCGTCGGGGGGAAGGAGGAGGAGTGAGGAGCGGCGCGCTGCCGCCCCTCGACACAGGGAAGACAGGGAGGAGCAGTAGCGGTAGAAACAGTAGGAACGAGGCAGCAGGGAAGCTGTGGGCGGTGTCAACGGGGCCGGCGGGGCCACTAAAAAAATTTTGCACGGGCGGTAGCGGCAGGGTCGACAGGCCGGCAGCAGCGGCGAAGGAGTGGTAATGCACGGGCGGCAGCAGCAGCGGCGCACGAGCGGCAGCGGCTTAGGCGCACGGGCAGCAGCAGCAGCGGCAGCACACCGGCGGCAGCGGTAGCGGGCGCAGTAGCGGCGGCTGCAGCGGGAGCGAGTGCAGTAGCGGCAGCGGTAGCAGGCGCAATAGAGGCGCACGGGCGGCAGCGGCAGCGGCGTTCGAGCGGGAGGGGCTGCGGGCGACGAGCGGGCGGCAGCAGCAGCGGGCGACGAGTGGGCGGCAGTTGTAGCGGCGGCGGTTACGCGCGGGCGGCAATGTGCGGGCCGGCGGGGCCGCGGCGGGCTGCGCTTTAGCGGTGCGAGCCGCGCGCGAGCGGCTAGCTGGTCGCGCGCAAGAAATCGACCGCGCGCGGGCGGGTAGCGGGTCGCGCGCGGTAAAAAAAAAAATCGAGTCGCGCGCGAGTGGCTGGCGGGCTGCGCGCGCGCGGTAGGTAGAAGGCGCACGAGGGCGCACGGTAGGTAGGTAGGTAGGTAGCGGTGGGCCCTAAGAACGGTCCTAGCGAAGGACCTGCTCTGAAACCATGTCAGAAGAACTGAACGAGGAATGACTGTACTAGCACAAAGTTGGATACAAGTAGGAAACCCTAATCTAGTGTACCCCCTAAGGTGTAACCCACTACAGCCTACAATCATATAAACATATAATGTTTGACAGGGGAGTCTTGGGGGTTGAGCCATTGGTGTCGAGGGAGAATGTTTGCGGGGTGGCATTCTGGCCAGTTAGGGCCGGTTGAGAGGGTTGCGAGGATGTTCCCGCATCGCCGTTCCGCAATGTTTGGAGTCCTTGCTCCAAGCTGGTGAGTCGCTGAAGAAGTTGTGCGAGAACTTCGGAGTTGATTGTCGTCGTGTTCTCGCTTGTCGCAGCCGGGTTGGGTTGCGCTTCAGCCGTCAGATTGGTCTGACCACCAGATCCTCCGGCCATCTTCACTCGTGAGCGTGTGCCGGACGCCACTTTCCGAATGTCGTAATTTTCGGGAGTGGCAGTGCGAAGGATTCCCGAGCCGCTCTGATACCATGCTGCGATCAGAAGTTGATCGTGGCCTAGGATCTACTCAGGAAGGTTCGCACGCAGTGAGATAGTTTGGTGGGCCCTTGACCTCAATAGCAGAGTGAATGTAAAATGCTTGAGATGAATGAAACATGCAAGTACAAGGAATATAAATATGAGTACAGGGGAATACGAAACGACCTAACTAGCCATGTACTATAAGGGGTACATTCCCTTATTCAAATTCATTCCCAACCGTGCGGCGCGTACAGTTTCGTAACTGTTCCCGCCAAAACCATCCTGCCTGAAGCTGCCCGATGCCATCTGCTCCGACGGTCCAGATGTGCTGTAACCGTCTGACTCTTCGGTTCAATTCCAACTGTCTGACGCTTCGCGTTCATTACCGATATTGCCTGCTTCCTTTGCTGCGGTGAGGAGTGTACAGTAATATCGAATATTACTATTCGTAACACCTAATACGAGGCTGTAGGAACAAGCTCTTACCATAATTGATACGTACATATGGCACCATAAATGGTCCTCCCTAGATCAGCAAGAACTTGGATTCTAGAGGACAATATGTGAAGACACCCAGCACAAAGAGATGCTATCTCAAAAGCTAAACTTTATTCTGAAGGAACTAGAACCACTAGACTCTATGGCAAAAACAACCAACAAGCAAGCACACTCACTGAAGACTCAAGCCAACCATCAGCCAAATTGATTCCTAGCTTCGAGAAACCGCATGCAGTCCCTCCCCTCCACCCCCCCAAAACGTCCCTCTGGCGCTGCCACCTTGTGCCTCATTTTGTCGTGAACTAGGGTGGCCTGCCCTCCCTTCCGTTGTCCACCAGCCCCTTCAACGTGACCTTGATCACAAAAAACTCTCTGGGTTGCAATGAGAGGGGCAAATGGAGCACACGATACAAAGCAATTCAGTGAGGAACATGTGGGTTCATGGGTGTATGGCTTTAGGGTGGTGGGAGTGGATTAACTGGCTGCACCGGCTTGGAAGAGAGCAAGGCAGAAAGCAGAGCATGCATTTTACCGTCCCCCTCTTACGTGTACACTTCTTCTCCACCATCAGGATCCCCTTCGTTCACTGACACACCGACTTTCCTCCCACCCACGTGCACTGGGTATTAGCAGAGCAGGCAGGCTTGCACTTGGCTGGTCATTGGGAGGAGGGAGGTGGGGGAGAGCATGAGGAGAAAGAGCATGAGGAGACTTGGGGCAGCAGGTAGAGAGAATAAGAGCGGATGGCTTATGATGATGACACAAAAGCACCACAAGCATTCCAGCGTGGATTCTTTATTGTTGTCAAGCATGTAACAAACAGCAAGGCACCTACGAGCGAGGCAGAGCTTCTTGGCTGCATTGAACACGAGGCCCTCGGGGCACTGGCACTGCTGCTGGCCGTCCTTCACAACGCAGTCAGCAGCTCCACAATCCTTGTGACACGTGGCTGTCGTGGGCCCCACAGAGGGACGAACAATCCATGCATGCAGAGAAAAAGGATAAAGAACAACCAAAACTGACGTAGGGTGTGTGTCGTAATTTTTGTCAAATTGAGCAAGGCACATGCTAGCGTGTTTGGAGATCTTTTTTTAAGTGTGCATGACACACTTCAGACGACGTAGAAAAAACCCGGGTGTAACGTGCATGCGCTCGCACACTTACTGGTCTCGCAGCCAACAGACCGCATCGCAGAGATCACATTGAAAGTCCTGCGCAAGAGAGAGGCAAGATAGGGAACACAAAAAATGAAGGCGAGTTACGACATTCGCTCCTTTCACGCTACAACTATGACAGGCATAGTTTGGTAACAAAACTTGATATTAAAAGAACGTCGTTGAAGCACGGCGGAATAAATTCAACTTGTTAAGTAAGTTACCTTGGTCGTGGGCATCACGGTCACTCACTTTTTGGTGACTGGGTAGGAACGGCCAGCCTTCGCAGGTCGCGCGATAGCAGTAAAGTCCAGCTTCTGCGTGCAGTCCCAGTCAGAGTAGAACGACAGGCTTTTGCACATGGCGTTGCTAGGCGCGGGGCGGCCAGTCGCGACAGGGTTGGATGCATTCCACACGACGGTGATCTTGGTGATGCCTTGGACTTTGACGTACGTGCTGCCGCACGCGGTGGTGCCACTGGCCTGCTCTGCCGGCAGCTTTGTCCGGAAGGTGACGTCCACCTTGCTGACGCCTTTTGGCTGCAGTGCCACCGTCGTCCGCACCAACGGGGCTGAGAGGCAGCAGGACCATTGAGAGACCATTGAGACCATTGAGGAGGGAGGAGTGAGGAGGGGTGAACGTTCCAGGTGCAGCGTGTGAAACGCTGGAAAAACTGATGCTAGAATGCGAGTGCCTCGAGAAAATGCATTGCGCACACCAGTGCAGCACTCACCGAAGCACGTCTTGTCAGCCTCGATGAAGGAAAAACCATCCTTGTTGCAACTGCAAACGGATTCGGTAGCACTGAGAGCAAAGCAAGTAGCCTCTAACCCACAGTCCACGCCGACACACGGGTCTGCAGAGGAAGTGATTTGACGCAAAAAAAGCGGGTTAAACAAGCACTCCAGCACTCCCCTATACGCCAGCACCGTGCTGTGTACTTATAACTACTTTATTGTATATATACAGACTCTCTATAGTAGAAGTACATGACAGTAATGTGGAGAAGAAATTTGGGATGCTGCTGTCAGCAGTGGTGCGGCAGTGCTAGTGGCAACTAGCAGTCAGCCTACTCACCAGCATCAGCGCTTGCGTGGGTCGTGAGGAAGCTGATGGCAAAGACACCCGCGATGAGTGCGGCGAGGCCGCCACACAGGCCCGACATGCGCGCGCACGGCATGGCGACAGGCGATAGCGCGGGAAAACGGGGAAGACGTCGGGATGGCGAGAAGGAGGCGGAAGTCCAACAAGGGTGTGGCGATAGCGGACGGAGCGGACGGGACGCCTCGGGATGGCGAGAAGTTCTGTCAAAAAAAGAATAACAGTCGTCACATAGAAGTGACGGCGGAATGGAAAGCGGCAGCACTTAGACTCGGCGAAAAGCTCTTACTAAAATAGTGGAATGCGGCGAGTGCAACATCAGCAACCGAAAAAACTGAGGGGCTGCAGTCACAGACTAGTAAGAGCTCGTGTATGAAAACTGACGAAGGTAAGGACGCGGCACCTCCAGTGAGGGTGCCACGAACGATCCTGAGTGGGGGTCGATCCTGGCTTGTATAACGAAATTGCGAAATCACCTACAGCCTGGTATCCTGTTTCGTCATAGATCGCAAGTGTACAGTAAATTGGTGCCCGAGATGGTGGCACCTCTGGCTCGCACGATCGATGTGCCTGCGCCCACACATCGACCGTGTAATTGTGAAGATCGGCGCCGTTTTGCCCCAGAAATTTTCCATCTGGCACCAGTGGCTCGATGAGTCCAGACGGTCGTAATTCTGGGTGTGAAGCCCTGACCCTCCCCAACCCTAGCCAATTCCCTAGAGGTACCACGTCTTAAGAACGACTGGGGGATGGGGAGGTGGGGGGCAGGTGGGTGCAAGCACGTCACCTCCGCAGAGGCGACAAACCTGCCAGGCGTACCAGAGAGGAAGGCACCTCACCTCACAACCGCGCCAACGACAAAACGGCAGTCATTTTGGGTAGCAGCTGCTGCCAGCTGGAGGTGCTGCAGCATTCGAAGGATTTTGGCAAGCAACACGACAACGAGAAAATCTCATCGCGGCTACTTTGAAGGCATATCGATATATTATCATTGCACAAAAACCGTTACCCTTAAAGGGCATCGATGTAGTCCCTGATGCTGTTAACAACGAGACTCGCCACGACAACTCCAATTACGCAGTTCTCAGGTGGAATCAGCGGAACCCTTAACAATTGGTACTACAATTGTACGGGGTGGTTGGATTTTCGTACCCGCGCAGCCGTAGAGTTCTTTGGTGGACAACCTGTTTCAACTGATCCTCGGTTGCGTACTGTATGCAAAACCGTCGGGGTTTGTGCTGTGCTGCGCAAAATTGTCTTGTTCCGCCACTCATCAGACTGTTCGAAAAATACACACTACAGTACAGCACAGGCCACACACACCCCACACAACTCTCGCATAAAACCTAACGTTTCCCAAACGCAAACAAGGGGGGCAGGGAAAGGTGGGGGAGGGGAGAGGGTACTGTGCGCAACCCCTCATCCACCAAAAAGTGGCACAATGTACAGTAATGAGTAAACGTGCACTCAATAAAAATGTCATACCTAAACAAACATCACTTCTAAAGATGCATTTCAAGTATAAGCAAACATATTGCAAAGGAAGGACCACATAAAAAATACTACACATGTGATTATTGTGAACAACTTGTTGGAAACAACTAATTATAAGCGCCTCTGTCGTGTCGAAACACTAAGGCACAAGCGAAGCGAAGCATACCGAAGCACCGACGAGTCAACCCTCGGAGGTTGAAACCGTTGCTGGAGGTTACGCGAAAGTCAAAGGTCAGCGACCTTTGACCTGACAAGTACAGCGCGACAGCAAGGACACACAACTGACTCACTACAGAGCAGTTGCCCGAGTCGTCATTGTATCGAACCGCAACATCGTTAGTAAAAGTAGTTATAACTATATCTCTTCATATTCCTTGTACTCTTATATAATCTTGTATCTCTTTGCTTTAATCAATCAACTTTGCCCTCACATACCAGCGCAAGGTGGTTCAACCTCTTTATTAAGCGTTTCCGCTATTACATTGTTTCTATCCAGAGTTCACCCCTGCAAAGATCCTAAGGGCTATTTCTCAGCCCAACATGGTATGAGAACTATCAGGGGGAATTCAACTAGTATCAAGTCATCTACAACATCAGAAGACATGGCAACAAACAAGGAAAGGAGCTCCTCTAACGGCTCCCCCTGCACTACTCCTGTTCCACCTCCTGCCTCTGGCCTGCACACATAGGAGGACACGGCAACGAGACAGCAGCACATTCAGCAAGTCAACCTGCCAGCTTCGACCAGAGCATGATGGAGAAGTTCTTCTCCTTCATGTCCTTCTACGAGCAACACTAAGTCAGCACCTGCGGAGTCAAACAACAGCAACAACAATAATGAAGTGACTCCAATGATCCTTGACGGTTCATCGTACGCGCGCGGAAACCAGCAGCAACCTACCTTTGCTCCATACGAGCCCCAGCGCGGCTCCATCAACTTCACGCCACACCCGCAGCCTTCACATGGACAAGAGAAGACACTGGACGTGCTTCAAGTCCAGTCGCAGTTCGCGCACATCTTAAAGCTGCAGACATCGAGGCCCTTCGATGGAAAAGATTTATTCACCTAGTCGTTCGAATTCGAGCTGATGATGGAAGGCGCGCAGATACTTGGCTTCTTCGACGGGTCCCTGCCATACCCGACACACGGCACACAGTACGACAAGCAGCAGTACACGTACCAGTCAATGATGGCATATACGATTTTACTGAGGAACATCACGCCGAATCAACAGCAGGACATACGGTCTTACCAGGGATATGGCAACTCCGCCGAGCTCGCATACAACCACTTGAAGAGCCTGTATCAAGCAACAGACAGCGTCAATCAGAGTCGGTTAATGGCGCAACTGACAACAGTTGAAATGAAACCAGGAGAAAAGGGGATGGAGTATATCAGCCGCTGTCGCGAGTTGCGCGACAAGCTTCTTCGATGCGGAGGGACAATATCCGAAGACGCCTTCGTGACAGTCATCATCGGAGGACTTGGTCCTCAGTGGCGCTCCACTCGACCCATTCTTCGATCCCACGGAAGAATTTCCGAAGCAGCACTTTGCGCCGAAATCCACGCCGAGCAGCAAGACATGGACCTGCAAGAAGAAAGACACAAGAGGAAGACATCAGCATCGGAATTCGCCTTCCACACTCAGCGACGCTACAACAACAATAACAACCGACAACGGCCGAAACCAGTACCTCCGTTCTGCCACATCTGCAAGACGTCAGGACATCCGCGCACACACTGCCCGAATCAACAACAGTCAACACCGCCACAGCGACAGCTTCAACCTTCAAGCAGTCAAGTTGCCCCAACGCAGGCAAATCCCACCACTCAGGTTCAAGCTTCAACAACACCAACGGGACAACCTGCACAAGGAACAAGAAACATCGTCAGTTGCATGGCAAGACTGAGCGACTCCTGCATCACCGAGTCACCGCCACACTACTCACCGGAAGAGCAACTTGACAACACCACACCTCGCCGCGAGTCACTTCAACCAAACCCGACGTACGCAGCCATCGCCCAAAGCGAGCCGTCCGGAAAGGATACCTGGTTCTTGGACAGTTGCTGCGGACAACACATGTGTTCTTCAGGACGCTTCGTGCAGCGAGAGCACCAACTCCAACGAGAAGTCGTCATCACCGTCGCCAACAACCAGAACCTGCGCACACGACGACAAGGCATAGTACAACTTCAGTCACGAGAAACAAACTTCATACTACAGATGTCCAAGGTTTTAATTGCAGAAGGCCTCGGCTACAACTTACTGAGCGTCAGCCAGTTGATGGCGAAGGGTATTCATCTTGAAGCAGACAGCACCACCCAAGAATTCAAACTGTACCACGAGAGAGGCGGACTCTACATCGGGAAAGCAGTGCTCAAGAACAACGTCTTCGTCATCAACTTCGTCCCCGACCTCGGCACCGCCGACAGCGACGACATCGTGAACTTCACAACTTGGACACACCCGCCAGACCTCGATCCAGACTTCAGCCCTGGAGGCTTCTGGTACTTAGAAACGATTCCTAAAACAGAAAGAACAAGAGCGTTAGCGACGATTCAACATTCGGCAGCAGCAGAGACAACATCGGCAGCAGCAGAAACAACATCGGCAGCAGCAGAGACAACATCAGCAGCAGCAGAGACAACATCGGCAGCAGCAGAGACAACACCGGCAACAATGACAGAAGCAGAATTAGCAACGGTAGCAGCAGAAACGTCAACACCAGTCGCTGGTCCTTCGACGGCACCACTCTTCATCGACGACACACCACCAACACCCGCACATCAGCTCAATCCGGCACCACGAGAAGTTCACCGAAGCGCCAACTCTACCGCCAGCTTTCACTCCAACTCCGACATGTACCGACGCTCACCCGGACACCGCGCCAACGAAGAAACCTGGCACGCAAGGCTAGGACACCCAAGCAACACAGTGTTAAACAACACGATAAGAGCAGGCGTACTCGACAAAGATTCTCTTCTACTTCACGATGGCAGAGAGCGAGTCCGTGGAACGTGCTTCACCTGCCCTGAAGCTGACTTACCGCACCAGTCGTTCGTCTCGCATCACAATCCAAGCGCACCTGTATACACACCACTCGAGAAGGTGTACAGCGACATCCTGTACAACCGCGAGCCTGGACAGAACGCATACAACTACACCATCACGTTCATCGACGCCGCGACACGTTACGTTTGGCACCTCAATCTTCCAAGCCGCGACATGGCCTTCGAAGCGTTCGTCGCCTGGCTTCCTGTAGCGGAAAGAGAATCAGGCGTAGAACTTAAAGAGCTTCCAGTCAGACGGGGGAGGAGAATACACCTCACAGAGGTTCAAGCAGTACTTGGCAGAGAGGGGAATCAAGCGGCTCATCTCCCTTCCCTACGCCCATCAACAGCAAGGTGTAGCAGAAAGGATGAACAGGACCCTCCATAACACCATGCACAAGCTGCTATGTGGCATGCACCTACCCAACCACCAGTGGCCCGAAGCAATGGACCACGCCGTCATGCTGCACAACTTGCTCTCGTCATCATCGCTCCCGAACAACGCATCACCGCATGGACAGGAAAACTGGGCAGCAAAAAAATGTTGAGAGTCTTTGGCTGCATGGTACAGTACCGACCCCCATCTGCACGAGCCGGCCGATTCTCCCAACGCGCACAGTGGGGACTACACCTGGGCATCGAAAAGCATTACAACGCGTGGAAAATTTTCGACCTCGAGACAAAGGAAACAGTGGCAGCACGTGATGTCATCTTCTACGAAGGACTCACCATGCGATACTACCTCGCCAACTTGCAAGAAGGAAACCCCGACCACGGCGATGGTTTTCGTGGAGACCGAGCCTTCGCTTCGGCAGCCGACGAAGCTGACTGGGACGAGCAGAATGTGGAAGGAGCCTCGGAAGAAGCCGGACCACTCCCATACTGCTGGGTGGACGTACCAATGGAGAACGACAACCCTCGCAAAAGTGTCAACGCAGAAGTCTTCTACAAACTCGCCGACGACGGTTACGTTACACCTGAAGAAGTCAACACCAACGAAGCAAAACGCGTCGGACCAAATTTCATACCCGATCCAGAAGCGGGAGATGAAGCAGTTTATCCCGAGGACACAACACTCCCCCGCTACACACAGAGTGGACTCCAGATACTTGGGCTCGTCACCACGGTTCATGGAGCGGCGATTCCTAAAGAGCCTGCGACGGTTCAACAGGCTTTAGGGAAAAATGGCGCGAAGCCATGGACAAGGAGCTGAAGGCACTGAAGGAACGCAACACGTGGAAAGTTGTTCCCATCGGCGTAGCACAAAATAAGACGATTTTCACCGGAAAATGGGTCTTCCGCGTGAAGACGAAGGCCGACGGCACCATCGACAAGTTTAAAGCGCGCTGGGTCGTACGCGGCTTCGA